AATATGGTAAATATTTAACGCCAGGGCTATTTTTATGGAGCTTCTTTCCGGGTGTTCTTCTACCAGATTAAGATCTGCTTCCTCGGTTGCTGGGGTTCTTGCCGTCCGATGTGCACCCGACAAATGACTAGTTTCCTTAAAACTTTCTGATTACTTCAATCAAGTGTGAATTCTGGAAAAGGTTTTTAAAGTAGAAGTTGTACGGTTCGGATAACGCTCCTGATACAATTGAATTTTGCAAATACTCTTTATGGGCCGAACCTGAGTCACTATAAACTAAAAATTCGGAAAGTCCAGAATTCTTGTTGGAGACTTATATATGGAATAAGAAGAAGAAACAGAATATCCCACAAGCTCAAGAAAATTGGACGGCTAGATATGGAGAATAGAAGAAAACTGCATGCTTCCTTCCTCTATCATAAGATCCTCTTATATAAAATCCCTTCGTACCTGCATAGGAAAGTGATGTTACGAACCGACGTTCATAATATTAACATCAGGTTCAAAGGCTCTTTAACACCTCCTATTTTCACAAAACAGTTATTCAAACGCTCTTTCAGTCACCAGATAGCTAAAGTGTTCAATGCTATTCTTGAACTTTTGAAAAAACTGCCGCCCTCTCAGTTTAAAATCAAATTGAAATTATAACTTTTTCAAAACCAATAACATGATGAACTTTCCAACATTCCTATTTTCCATCTTCTTTTATCTTCTATTTTTTATTCTCTTTGAGTGATTCATGACCAATAATAGTTTGCTTAGTTTTGTATCATCGCCAGTAACTGATCTTTATTCATGTATTCATATACTGATATTAATGCTATGCTACTTCAGTACCCATGCAGAGAGTTTTTTAGGTTAAGTGGAAGCAAAAATTGAACTTCACTCAACTCTATTCGCGGTCGTTTTCATCTTAGTTTCTTGCAGGCACATGATTAGCACTTTATTACCACGCTTGGTTTGTACCTGATAGAGCATTTGTCCTCGATTTCGAAAGAAATGATTCTTAGATCTGTTGTTTAGCAAAATTGGAAGCTTTTGTTTATTAATTAGAAAATTTTATGCAAGAAAATACATGCAAGTAGCCAGACGAACCGATGTGACACGCGTGATGAAAAAAGGTTGCAATTGCATTTTCTTTTCAGTCAATCATTTTATGAGTCAACATTGCATTTTTGTTTCGTGTTGTCTTTACGCAGATAGGTTAGGTTAGGTCTAAAGTCAGTGGGATTATTCGACCCTCCACCGCAACCCGCAAAGGTTTACTGTTGCTCACACCTATTTTCGACGAAATAAACCCAGCTTCTCAACAAAGCTGATTAGTTTGTATGATGAGTGGTCTTTCAGGTTAGATGATAAAAGTACGGCTCTGCCGAACTTTAAAAATCTGATTCGGTCCCCAGCGGGATAGGTCAAGGTATATGCTCTGCTGTTTCATCATTTTCCAACAAGAGGCGACACACACTGTCTTTCGACAGTCCGAGTCTCTGTATATAATGATTCAAATGACAGCAAGAAGGCCTGTTAGACATCGTAGTTTATTCCTACTGTAGTCCAACAACTGTTTGAATCAAGCTTCGAAGGATGAATAAACGCCTTGGAGTGAGCCAATCCTGGAAGATTCTATCAGAAGTCCATAAATCTTCTTGCCATCCAGGTATTCAATGTTTGTTTGGCAAAACCTAAGGCGATGCCATTGACAGGTTCTGGTCCGATGAAGCTGCTTGCTGCACCTTTCTTTGCAAGGGAGTCAACAGCCCCATTGCCTTCCAGGCCAGTATGGCCAGGAATCCAGACAAGAGACAATATGTTAAGTCTTTCTATCGAGGAGAGTCGTTTTTGGCAATTTGCTACCACTTTAGACGTTTCTCGGTAGGGGCCAAGAGCTTCCAATGCCACTTGACTATCCGATAATATTTTTATTGACTTGTATATGAGGTTGAATTCTTCCAATCTCTCCGTAGACAATTCAATAGCATAAATTTCCGCTTGAAATACAGTCGCATAGGTTCCTAGGCAGGTAGATATCTCTGTCCTGAGTCTGCGACTAAAAACACCTCACCAGAACCGGAAGGTGTGAACCAACAACTATCTGCTCTTGATATGTCCTTCTCCCGGAGGATCCAGTCCACTTTTCTCGTAAACAGTACTTTATAAGGCAGTTCGTAGTTGACAGTTGGAGGCATAAAGTCAGAGGTCATTCCAGAATGCTGTGATTTTCAGTATCAACAAATAGTCTGTTGCACTTTGAATTGAATTGATTTGTGGAATTGGCAATATGCACAAGTCTGAATGCAGTCCATCTAGCCTCTCTGTCCAGAAAAAAATATGTGTGGTACTAATGGCAGCACTGATGGCCAGAGGGGCCTGTCTCTGTAAGCCAGAGAACTTCGCCTGGGCCGTTTTCTGTAGAGCCTTCGGACACCAGGCAATTGCACCATCAGTAATCATTGATCTGAAAATCATCACATAATTCCAATGGATTTGTTTGGTACATAAACCCCAAATTTTGCCACAAATCCTTCGACATGTCCATAGAGATAGTCTGACAGATAAGTACCCATCGTGTTATGAATCACACGTTGAAAGGTAAGACCTCGTTAGTCCTTAGCTCGCACAAGTTTCTCAACTTCTGAGAGTTGTCGTTCGTATAGGGGCGACAGCTGATTAACGGAAAAACAGATTTTAAACAGANGAAATATAGACGAAAGAAGATGATTATATTTATAAATGTTGCAAATTCAGTAGTTTTTGATTTGTATCTTTTTTATTTATTTTCTAGCATTTCAACTATCGGTTTATAAACTTTATGGAAACAGATATCCGAACTCTCACAAACAACGATAACACTTTCAGAATACAAATCATGAAATTTCAAAACAACAACAAAAATTAATTGGCGCTTCGGGGTAACATCATTGATTCCAGTGGCACATTTGCCTTTTCAGCTGCAGGAAAACCCGAAAAAACCTGCAGCACCACATCATCTGAAGATCTTGATCTGCCAATGTCCTCTCTCTTATAAAACAAAATGTAGGGTATCTCCAGAGGCTCCAATAAATTCAATACATCGCCAGAACACTTCGTGACACGCCTATCGTCAAACTTAAACCAGTCCGTTTTGTCTTTGACCAAGGCGTAATAATGACCAAATTCAACGCCAGAACTACAGTGAACAATGACTGCATGAATATTATGAAAGTGGTCTGCTAGACTGAAGTGTTCATCTATTTCTAATCAATTGAAAATTTTTTGAAAATGCGATCTGAACCGTTAATGAAACTGGAACAGGAGTCTACAGGTTTCTAACTCAATTGTTCCTGAAATATACGGTCTATTTGAAATACACAAACCTGGCAAGTGTCGATCATAACTTTCCACTTATAAAACTGCTAAATGTCTAACCAAACAATTAAGAACTATCTTAATCTCACAATCGAGTTGTTAACTCATATGATTTTATAGATGAAATTGAGTATGTAAATGATCAGTTGTCCATATACCAACTGATGAATATTTGAGAGATGTTCTCTGGCTCAATAGTCTCAGTAAAGAAATAATCGAAAACTACAAACAACTGACTAGAATCTGCATGGAACAGAATAACATGGATTCCACAGTGTTGTGGAATTGGCCGCGGTGGTATCACGCCCGACTCACGATCGGAAGGCCGTGGGTTCGATTCCGCCTCGACCAGCTATTTTTCTCGAGAGAATTTATCTGGTTGAAGCTGGAATGATTCTGCAATCGTGTTAGGACTCACACGTTAAAAGGTAAGACCTCGTTAGTCATCAGTTCGTGGTCGTTCGTATGGGGGCGACAGCTGATTAACGGAAAAACAGATTTTTCAAAACAGACAGATTTCAACAACTGTTTCCACAGACAGCACGCATCCAAAACAATGGAAAATCTACTGTCCTGATTCATAGCTGATCTTTTCATTAGCAAATTTGAATTGGATGTCAGGAACTTGGATTTGATTTGCAGATGCTGTTCATGGGATTATTGACATGAAGGAATCTTAGGTAGAGGACTTTGTTTCAACTCTAAACAACAGATCCCCGAATGATAACTCCACATAAAAAATTGAGAATAACGAAGAGTTATCATCCTTGGTTATCTTAGTGATTGAAAGGAAGATAAGATATTGAGAAAATTGTTATCAGGGAAAATCTTAGTAATTCTTCGACTTTCCGAAAAGACATTGATTCAAAGTAATCTAACTCTTTTTTTTTGCTTCTAATTCGAATCTGCTCATGAATAGATTAGCTATAAATGGGGATAGTGGGTGTTTCACTGCCTTTTCTTCGTTATGTCTGTATAAATAGTTGTTGAAATAGATGCAATTCTGTTTCATGCAGATTTTTGTTGGTTGTTTGCAATATTCTGCACTCTCAGAAGATCCCTCAAATATTCAATGATGTTTTATATAGGAACACTTGGAAACAACAAGGATACATCAAAGCATACTGAAATATCTTTATCTCGCAACTCTACATCTTCAATTTTATCCATAAATCCATGTGAATTAACAAAACTTCAACTCAATTTTTTTCAGGTCTTCCAAATTTTAAGTGTGTTAAGTGTTCCTTACATCTTATTTCAATAGATCTTTTCGTCTGTCCATAATATTTTGCATCGCAGTCGTTATATGCAATGCAAAATATTATGGACTTTTCTCAAGTCGCAGGTGTATGCGAATAAACCATAAATCACATCAGTCCTTAAAGCCAACATAACCCATGCGATCGGTAAAATTCAGCCTCATTCATACGCCAGAGTCGTGGAAAATTGAATGTTTCGCCCAGAGAAGCCGTGGCAGACATTCGAACTATGTTTTATTCCACACATAATGATATCAATAGATCTTTCAAATGAATGAAAGTTTTTTATGATGTCTCACACATACTTTGTTTTATTTAAATTTAAAGACAGGAATCGCTTAATGAAATACCCTATATTGATAATGTAATGATTGAAAGACAACAGAACAGAACATCTTAGGTTACCAAAAAGTCAGTTATGACTGAGTGAATTCTTTTGATATAATGAATAAACATTTGCTCCAAAGGTATATTTACCTCGTTAAAGCTATCCTTATTGTAATCCATTAATGTCAATGATGTAACAATATCTCCGATTGCGGTCCAGAACATTTCATTTCCTAAATGATCGTATCCGTGAACTGATGAATTTCCTCCCACCATGATAATAGATTTACTGTCTTTGAATGTACCAAAGACGATGGATTTCACACCATCAGGGCAGTCTTTGTAGAACACATCCTTGTTATCGTGGACATGGTAAACAAGTATATTCAAGCTAGTTCCTGAAATGTTGAACTATAATTTGGTTGTGAACAAAGACTAGGCTAAAGAAATTAAGTCAAGTTAGTATGGTTGATAGGTAAACACAAAAATACCCATTCACTGCATTACCTAATAGTATATTAGACTCACTACAAGGGCAGAAAGTTTGAAATTCAGACACTACGCGTTATGTTCGTGTAGGGCTTTCAAGCTTACTGCCCCTGTGGTGTATACTTTTTTCTGCATAGCCGTTGAAACTACAACAGTACATTTATGACTATCAACATTGTTCCGTTTTTCCTAACATTGACTAAATACTCCATAAAGTTAGAGGTTTCAACTTTTAACTCAAATCTTTAAAATGCCTAACTGATATATTTTCCTCTGAATTTGACAGGGAATTTTTGTATTCTTTCTGACATTTTTTAACTTTTCGTAGGCTAGTTTGAACTGCAGACATTTTTGCTAACGGTTCATTCTGTATTATTAATTCCGCCTCTGCATCAAAATCTATTATCACAACATCTTCGTCCATCGATTCGTCACTTGAAACCATTTCGTTTATACTTCCTTTGATTATTTATCGGTGATCACAAGTTTTTCATGTATATTCACTAAGAGTAATTCTAATATCGACTTTGTTTATATCTGGATACCAAAGTAACAGCTCTTAATGACAAGTGACCACAGAAGTGATTAACGGCAGTAGCGACAAAATAACAGACAGCGATTATAAATCTGCTAATACACAAATCTTCGACTTTCAGCATAGAAATTGACCGGGTATAAAGAAAAATCAATTATGTAGGTGTTGCAGATTCAAAAGTTTTTTCGACTATGGGTTTGAGGATATGTTATTTAAAAATATAGTCTATTGTTGCATTTTTCAGTATTTTCAAAGGTCTTGAAATGCATTTCACATCTGTTTTTCACACCGTTATGAAATACTACACATAGATGGCGCGAGTCTTATTACATTCACCGCCTTTTCAGTTCATACTAACATTCAAAAGGAACCTGTTGAAATTTCATGATATTCTACTCATAATTTTGTGAGTTATGGTTTTAAGTGTGACACTACTTTTGTTCTTTTCGAAACAATGGATCAAAAACAATTTCGTGTTTTAATTTTACACTGCTTCTTGATGGAAAAAATACCGTTCAAGCGAAGCAATAACTTGAAAAGTGTTATAAGGACTCCGCTCCATCAGAAACAACAATTGAACGTTGGATTGCTGACTTCAAACATGGTCGTAGACACACCGATGATGCAGAACGCAGTAGACGTCCAAATGAGGCAGCAACACTAGAAAACATAAAAAATCCACAAAATCGTTTTGAATGATCGAAAAATTAAGTTGCGTGAGTTAGCTGACATTGTGAAGTTATCATAAAAACATATCGCATGAGAATTTGACTATGAGAAAGCTCTGTTAAAGTGGGTGCAGCGCAAGCTCACTGTTGACCAAAAACAAGACCTTCTTGATGATTCTGATCAATGTTTGGCCATAACAAACCTGAATTTTTTTGCATCCATATGTGACAATGGATGAAACATGGATCCACCACTTCACTCCGGAATCAAAACAATCGTCATCTGAGTGGAGAGAAACTGGTGAACCTCGCCCAAAGTACAACAATCGGCTGGAAAGATTATGGCCTTACTCCATTCTGGAATGTGCGTGGTGTAATATTTATCGACTATCTTGAGAAGGGAAATACCATCAACAGTGAATATTATATAGCGTCATTGGAGCGTTTGGAGGCCGAAATTGCAAAAAACGATCGCATATGGCAAAGAAAAAAATTTTGTTCCACCAAGAAAACGCAGCGTGTAAAAACAATGGCAAAACTACGTGAGTTGAACTTCGAATTGCTACCACATCCATCGTATTCGCCAGATTTGGCTCCCAGCGACTACTGGCTGTTCGCAAACCTCGGCTCTGCCGAACTCTTAACTCTTGTGTTTTTTCAAAATCCTTCTAACGTTAGTTCTTGGTTGACCTCTTGATATTCTCAAATTTCACGTTGACATTTTGTGATTATTTTCACCAGCTTCTCAAACGACTATTTCTTCCAACTCCTTATTCGTAATTGATTCATATGATTTTAGTCTTTTTTTTTTCGAATTGACCATCATCAATTAAGTTGTGTTACCATCTTGAGAAAATGTCTCTGAAATGTTGTCTCAAACTATCATGTGATGTACTGTTTGGAACCTTTGGTGTAGTAATGAATATTACTGGAGTTTTTTCCCAACACCAAATCGTTTTTTTACACCTCGACACGTGTTTCGATCACCAAGTGATCATCTTCAAGAGGAAGATAAAACTAATAACTAGTCAAAACTAAAGCTACTTATACTAATCAGGTAAATCATACAGGTAGGTAATCAGTAATACCACCCATATATAAGTGTTCCACCCTAAATTAATTTTACAATTGGCCTTTCTATTATTTTACAATATGTCCTTATGTATGTTTAAATGTTACAGCTATATATAGAACAATTTTCAGCTATATAAAATTAGTTTCACAATATTGCCTATCTAAATATATATTACAATCTGTCTTTTTGTAGTAATCAGTAAACCCAACGATATTATTTCAACAAGCTATATAATATGCTATTTGGTATTGGTCCGTTATGCATTCTGTTTTATCGTCGCATCGTTCAAAGCCTACTTGATCAAAGTGTGCGTTTCAAAGTCTACATAAAAAAACCCAAAAGCTCTGTATTTCAAAGATCACTCTAGCAAAACATCAAGTGTGCTTGGAGAGCTAATTTTAAGCTCTATTAAAATGTGCAGGAATATACAGGGTGTCTCATTAAAAAAATGGTTTCCATCAATAACTATTGATATCTCAATTGAGAAAATATATTTTTCACCCCATCGAATTTTACGTAAAAAAGTGCTTTGCAATTTCTTTTTTAGAAACAAGACATTTTTGAAAGGAACTTCTCGAGAATGTACATTTTCGAAATCATCCTGTAACTCAAGAAACGATGATAGATATCGATATGCGGTTTTCACCATTAAGCTTGTCATGAAATTTGACCATCAAAACACAGCCATCCGTTTTGATCTATCCAGTTTGAAAACAGGAGTTTCCCTTCAAAAGTATTCAATTTGGCCCATTCTGTACCAACTCAACTGATGAACTACCCTGTAGTGAAACGCATCTTGAATAAAATTCATAGTGTGAAAATTCCATAATTATTATCATTCAGAGTGAATGAAGTTAATTGAGACTGCTCAGAATGATGAACTGAATTTGAAAAAGGAGATACTCAATTACCAATTATCAAAACGTCTTTTTCTTCATCTGGTAACAACATTCCAACGGTAAGACACGTTATCGTTTGATTGATATTCAGGGTTGCAATCTCCCTATTGGATTCCGACCATAGGATCCTTCCTGTTACAGAAGCATTTCTTCTGTGTGGACTGTGTATCAAAACCTGAAAAGAGTAAACTATATCCAAACGTGTTTTATTATACAGCGTGTTTTAAATTCGATCCTCACCATTGGGATCTCGGAAACTATGAAAGATATGAAGATGGTTGAATTGGGGCAAAGTTGCGCATTCACCTGACTAACAATATATCGTTGAGAAAGTTCTGAAATTCCGCGTATATCCGGAGATATCCGGATACAAGTTTAAATACATTTCCGATGTCCTAACATTGTTTCTATCGTATTTGTAAAAAATTTGTATCATATCTCAAAGGCATATTGTTAGTCAGGTGAATGCGCAACTTTGCCCCACTTTAACCATCATCGTATCTCTGATAGTTTAAGAGATCCCAATGGTGAGGATCGAATTTGAAACACCCTGTATAGTATATGCATATCGGCTTCGAAACGAGCATTGATTGTGAGACATAAATAAAGAAACTGAGCAAAAGTCAGATTTCCATTGATCAAAAAGTTTGGAGTATGAACATTTCAAATGAATATTATTAGATGCAAATATTTACCATTAAAAGACAAATCAGTAACAGATGATAAATCAAATACCTACATTGGATGATAACGCACAGTATCGCATTTTCCTTTCCTGAGAAATACATTGTTTGAAATGCAAGAAAACAGGAAAAGATATTTTCGCCTATTCTGCTTTGGAAAACATATCATTGTTTACGCTTAAGGAAGCCATTGTATAGCGAAACACGTGTTGCGGTTTTAGTAAAACCGTGTGTAGTGAAAATCACACAATTAACTGTATTAATTCGTCATAAAATTAAATTTCGAAAAAGTAGAATTTATATAATTCTAACGAAAATAGTTTGTTCACCTTGTCCGTTGTAGTAGCAGCTGTTAAACATGGATGTGCTCCGTCGTATCTTCCTAAAGTAACTAGTCCAGGAACTATTTTATAATTGAGTTCTAGATTGAAAACAGGACCTATTAACTTATCCATACTTTTGAGATATTTTTTCACAACTGGGTTTCTATCTATATTCGGAATACAAACATGTGTATCCAGGTAAATATTGATCGATGTCAAACTACACCTCTGTTCACCCCTGTTTCATTTATATACAGATTATTGACACAAAAATAAGCGATTCTTAGAAATATGACAATCTTTTATCATTATCATTTCGTAATGATTGAAAGGTGTATAAACCCCAATGCTATTAAAATATTTTGGGGTATTTCGTAACCTCGCATGGAGGTGAAAGCGGCGGAGTCACAAACACTGAAAAAGCCTGTCTCCCTTTCATGAACTACCGCTCTGTTTCGTTTCCAGTTAATATTTTTTGATTGCTAGGTTTTATAGACTGGACTCGGATGTCATGCGCCACAGATGGCTGAAGCGGCCTCCGTGGAGAAATGAGCAGATATTCCATTTGTGTAAATAATCTCATATCAGTGGTATACTTTTTTTTTCAAAATTGATTTTATTTTTCATAAACCTAAACGGTTTTTTTCATTAGTAGTAACGAGTAATGCCAACATAAATCTTTTATTCAGCTATTGAGATCAACTTCGTATAGACTATACCGAGAAAGGCATAGAGTCGTTCCAAAAGCTTGACAAAAACTGATAATTTTCCTTACCATTGATTTCGATTTACGACGTTTCACTAAGATTACATTTGCCATATTCATATGCTCTGCTGGTAGTTAAACTTGAAACTGAAGTAGTCCTTGTCGATGCTTGTCTATTCATACATAGATGTACGCCGTAGCACAGTAAATGCTAAACTTTCGATGTTTGTGTTCCACAGATTTTTTTTTAAGGACTGTGTATCTCTATCTATAGATTAGGGAGGGAGAGTGTTGGCCCACAGAACTCAGGACACATATGACTCATTGTACATCCTCCCGAGGAGTTGTTCTCCTAGGTCATCGTCCATTCTGTCCTTTCCAGGAAGGTGGACAGGTCTCTAGAAGACATCTCCTTTATATTGGCGGGTGTAGGACAAGACTCGCCGAACACATACTCTTTTATTGACGATAACTTCGGACACTCGTATAGGACATGCCTGACAGTTTCATCTTTCTGTTCACACATCCTGCATAGAGGTGTGTCCACTAGCCCCATATTATGGAAGTGTTTCCTCAGTTGACAGTGGCCAGTCAGATATCCTACTGTTGAGCGTACATTTTTCCTGGTCATCGCCAGATATTTCTTCGGCGTCAGCTTCCCAGGGTCGCCCAGGGTAATTCTGGCAAGATTGCATCCTTTGATTCCATCCCATCTCTTTTTAGGGATTGAGCATGGGTGTGACATTTGGCTGGTTCCACAATTGTGAAACTCATCAGGCCGTAGGTGCCACTGGGTCCTAAAATTCATAGTCCAGCCGCTTCCTTGGCAATGCGATCACCTTTTCTCCTGTCGTGCCCTATAACCCACCTCAGGATATTATTATCTACCGAGGCTTTGGCTAAATCTTGGTGGTACTCTAGTACTAGTCCTGAGGTAACACGTTGTCTGTTCAAGGCTAATAAGGCTTGTCTACTATCAGTGTAGATTGTTATGTTTTTGCCAGAAATCCCTTTCTTGGTTATTTCTTTTGTGGCGATTGAGATATCAGCTAGTTCTGTTAGAATCACGCTGGTTCAAACAGAACTAGCTGGTATCCCACTTAATCCTTAGGCTTAGTGATCTGGACTAAACTCCACATCCTGAGCCTTATTTAGTATTTGAGCCGTCTGTATTTATGCGTATTGCATTTGTAGCATCTGTGTTCTGTTTTATTTGTATTTTGTAGGGTTTATCAAACACAAACCTGGGTTTAATTGTATTAAGCGATAAGCATTTAGCGCTCTTCACCATAGGCTCAGCCTCAATTGACCAATTCCTACTTCGAGGTTTACACAAGCCGTGCGCAATCGTAACATGGCCATGAATGCAACCTCCTTAACATACAGGACCAGAGAGGTCAGACCAGTAATTAATTCCATTACCTTGGTTGGTGTTGATCTCATGGCTTCTGTAATGTTTAAACAAGCCAATCACTGTATTTGATATAATTTTTGGATGGCCGTTGCTTGTAGAACATTCGGTTCCCATGCAATGGCTCCGTACGTTAACATAGGTCTTACTATTGCAGTGTAGATCCAGGTGACCACTTGGGGTGAAAGATCCCATGTACGTCCCACTGTCTTCCGATATTGCTCATATGCCCTTTTTGCTCTACTCTGTAGGTGAGAGTTCCAAGTTAGCTTCACCTCTTCAGAGAAGTTCAGTTTGCTTATGAAGATTTCGAGAGGTTTTAAGCCCAATAAACTTCTTTTCCTAGTGAAAAGGACAGTGAGTGTTCCCTATACCATGTTTCTATTAATTTGAGCCAATCCTGCGCTCTATCGCACAGTGTGTTCACAAATTTGCCGGTCTGCAAGATAACTATGTCATCTGCATATGCATATGCACGATTAACGGAAAAACAGATTAGAATATATTTTTTTAAACAGAATTATGTAGAATACATTATTGTTGAGGTGATTAATCAGAATTTTAAGGAGTACTAGGTATCCATAAATTACCTGCCACGAGTGGATTTGTCAGCGTTTGACATTTGATACATTGCTCAACAAGTGAATAATAGATATATGAGAAATTAAATGGGTGTTTTGTGGCAATAGAAATCCCTTTCTTGGTTATTTCTTTTGTGGCGATTGAGATATCAGCTAGTTCTGTTAGAATCACGCTGGTTCAAACAGAACTAGCTGGTATCCCACTTAATCCTTAGGCTTAGTGATCTGGACTAAACTCCACATCCTGAGCCTTATTTAGTATTTGAGCCGTCTGTATTTATGCGTATTGCATTTGTAGCATCTGTAGCATCTGAATTTTGTAGGGTTTATCGAACACAAACCTGGGTTTAATTGTATTAAGCGTTAAGCATTTAGCGCTCTTCGCCATAGGCTCAGCCTCAATTGACCCATTGCTACTTCGAGGTTTACACAAGCCGTGCGCAATCATAACATGGCCATGAATGCAACCTCCTTAACATACAGGACCAGAGAGGTCAGACCAGTAATTAATTCCATTGCCGCGGTTGGTGTTGTTCTCATGGCTTCTGTAATGTTTAAACAAACCAATCACTGTATTTGATATAATTTTTGGATGGCCGTTGCTTGTAGAACTTTCGGTTCCCATACAATGGCTCCGTACGTTAACATAGGTCTCACTATTGCAGTGTAGATCCAGGTGACCACTTGGGGTGAAAGACCCCATGTGCGTCCCACTGTCTTTCGATATTGCTCATATGCTCTTTTTGCTCTACTCAGTAGGTAAGAGTTCCATGTTAACTTCCTGTCGAGGGTAGTACCAAAGTATTTCACCTCTTCAGAGAAGTTCGGTTTGCTTTTGAAGATTCCGAGAGGTTTTAAGCCCAATAAACTTCTTTTCCTAGTGAAAAGGACAGTGAGTGTTCCCTATACCATGTTTCTATTAATTTAAGCCCATCCTGCGCTCTATCGCACAGTGTGTTCACAAATTTGCCGGTCTGCAAGATAACTATGTCATCTGCATATGCATATGCACGATTAACGGAAAAACAGATTAGAATATATTTTTTTAAACAGATTTATGTAGAATACATTATTGTTGAGGTGATTAATCAGAATTTTAAGGAGTACTGGGCATCCATAAATTACCTGCCACGAGTGGATTTGTCAGCGAATGAGAAATTAAATAGGTGTTTTGTGGCAATGTAGAATATCATGAAACACTTTGAATTTTTTATTCAAATTGTTCCACGTTTTTACTCTTTGACTGTTTGGTTCAAATTTTGGAATCGATTTGATATTAAGTTACCGATAAGCTAAAGGACTAGCAACTTCAAACGTAGCTCAGAACTGGATAAAACACGATTTCCGAACAAAGTTCGGAAAACGTGTCAAAGAGTTTCAAACGAATGAAAAGATTTGATATGCTTGCCAACCCAGCCAGTCCTGATGAGTTGCGAGTAACAACATTGGAACATATATGTACGCAGGTGGTAGTGTCAACTAAATAAAGAATAATACTTATCGCTTTCTTACAAGTACCACAGCAAAAGTGTCCTTCTGGAGGAATATTGCACAAATACTCGTAGATGCCAGATGTAATTCATTGTCCGTAAGATATACTAGTTGTTTCCTGACCGATATTTGCTTGCAGGTGGTTACCCTGCCCCATTCGAAACAAAATTCTGCTTGTTGGTTTTAGTTGGGATGCCCTTCTAACTTGATTCTTGTTCTCTGAGGAACATTACACAAGGATTTTTTGATATAATTCAATACTCGTCATGGCATTAGAAAAGGGAGTAGTTGATCTGGTGAAGTATCGGTCGGCAACGACTATCGTTTCTGAACGATTTCCCAAAAGATATCTACCATTGTATGAATATAATAATAATTAAAATTTTGATGATTTCAATATACCATTAATCAATAAAATACTTTTAGAAAATTTTGATGAGTGTGAAAGAGTTAGGAATCTCCTGTAACTATTGTTTTGCACTACGAANCGTGTTAGGAATCACACGTTAAAAGGTAAGACCTCGTTAGTCCTTAGTTCACACAAGTTTCTCAACTTCTGAGAGTTGTCGTTCGTATGGGGGCGACAGCTGATTAACGGAAAAACAGATTTTTCAAAACAGACAGATTTCAAACTGTTTCCACAGACAGCACGCAGCCAAAACAATGGAAAATCTACTGTCCTGATTTATAGCTGATCTATTCATTACCAAATTCGAATTGGATGTCAGGAACTTGGATTTGATTGGCAGATGCTGTACATGGGATTATTGACACGAAGGAATCTTAGGTAGAGGACTTTGTTTCAACTCTATACAACAGATCCCCGAATGATAACTCCACATAAGAAATTGAGAATAAGGAAGAGTTATCATTCTTGGTTATCTAAGTGATTAAAAGTAACCAGATTCTAGAATTTGATGCCTATACCAGTGCTTTCAGATAAATTCCTGATA